TTTTCTAAAATAAAATGCCTTCTGACTTAGTTATAACACAGTAACAAGTAAGGTTACAAAAAGTGTTCACTGTCTAAAGTCGCTCTAGTTACCTACTATCTTAAAAGAAATAGATATAGGATAATAGTAGTTAAGTTCTAATATCTTTTTCTTGAGTCTTTTTCTTTGACCTACTTTTTTAACTAATTCCTATCTTATCTTTTTGTCTTAACTGGGTTTTTGCTATATTGAATCAGGAGTGGGACTCATCTCTTTTGGACGATCAACTGTAGGTTTAGTTTATTTTTAGGTCAAACAGGTTCTGTTAGAGGTGTAATTTAATAATAATCACTAGATCTTATATAACAACACTTGTACTTTTTTTAAGATCAGATAAGTAGTTTATATTTTGCAGTTATAGATACTTTTTATTCTTTTATTTTTTCTATCTAAATCCTATCTAAAATCTGTTATTATAGTATCAATTGTAAAGCTCAATAACATGATAAAATTAAGATGCCAAGGCCTCATATATAGGAATGTCAACAGTTCAGTCATGACCATAACTGATACTAGTTTGGTCACAAATTTTGACTAACTGAACTAACCATTTGACCAATACTATATTTTGTTATTTATCATTGTAACAATCTGTAAAATAATTATCATAATACAAAAATAAGTTTAATTATAAGTATTATGCTTAAATTATTGTTATATACAACTTTAATCAATTAGTTAAATTATATTTAATAAATATTTATATATCATATATTGATTATACTTAGAAATAATAATTAACAATAATTTATATTTATTATATTTATATTTTTTTCAATCTCTATTTTTGAATTAAATTTATTCTATAAAACATATTATATTATTAACTATATATTATATTATTACAAATTATATAATTTAAATATAAATTTATTTCACATTAGCTTATTAACTCTAAATTAAAAAAAGCTTTATTATATTCTATTGTAAATAAGAACCATTCCTCTATCATATTTTTTGAAATAACAAATTAGCAGAAATCACAATAAAATATTTAACAAAGTTGTTTCTACTAATCTGACATTTAATAAAATAGACAAAGGGGACAGTGCCTATTATGGTAAATGCAATAACTTAAATTAACTAATATTAATTAAATATTGCAAAATATTAAAAGTTTAAATTATCTATCAGTTATGATTACAGTTAGTTCAGTCATAACTTATGACTAATGATAATTGACTGAAACTAACTGTGACTGTCCATTGACATTCCTACTTATGTGAGAGTAGGTATGGTAATCAATTCCTAGATATAGATATCCTAGTAATTAATTAAATTAATTCAATTAATTAATTATATCAAGAAAAGGAGATTTAATAGTGAAGAAAAATTTATTAAGTATAAGAATTTAGATAAATAAATTAGAACATTAAATTAAATAAAGAAAATAGAGAAACAAGATTAATGTAATTAAATAAGTCATAGTTAGAAAGATAATATAAATAAAGGCCAAAATGGCCTTAGAGAAAAAAAGAATGTTTCATTTACTTTATTAATAAACAAGTCCCAATACATTGTATCATCTATAATAAAACTCTAACATTATATCTAGTATAAATTCTGTAAACCCCTATAAACATTATTATTTATTCAAGTTCTTGTTTACATAACTTACATATTGACCTTCATTAAATCCAAGTAACTGAAAGTCTTAATTACCTACTAGCTAAATCTAACACCTTCTTTCAAAAAGGTTAACTACTATATATTGCACAAAATCTTGAATTGTGGAGTAACTAAGTTACAGAATTCTGAACTCAACACTATTAAGCATTGCATGTGTGCATATGATTTATTGTACATATATTTTATATGAATTATATGCATGCATGCAATACTTAATAGATACAATATTTCATTCTCCAACATGACTCAGTCTTTTCCAAAGTATTAGAGAATTAAATTTGCTGAGAGCTTGAACTTCATTTTTTCTGGGGGTTTTGTCATTCATCAAGAGTTTTGCCATTTATCTTAGTTTTGCCACTTTTGTGTTTCACTAAATTTAGGTTTCATGTTTTGCTATTTGCAAAAAACTAGTCTCATCTAACAACTATAGTAGTAATTACAGAATTATCTAAAATTTAACCAAGCTTCATACAATTTTTGAAAAACAAATGGATTCAAAAGTTTCTGCAAATTTTGTAATATTCTGCATTTTGCAGAAAATCATAAATCACAATTCAAATTTTTTAATTCTTATTAAGGTTAAATTATTTATCTAATATAAGCTTGATTAAATTAATCTTTTAAAGCTGATACTATATGATCATTCATGTTTTGATTGGTTAAAAGTAATTTTTAATTACATTATCTTCATTTTTTATTATGCAAATCACCTTTCATTTATAATTAAAAAATGTCAGTCATGTTAAAATTTATATGAATCTAATTTTTTAATATAAAACACCTCATATATTAGTTACTTGATATGTAAATATCAAAGCAGCTTTAGTCTTAAATCATGTGCCAGTAAAACAAACATGTGATAGGCCCTATTATAGTTACATGTTCAATCAAATGTTAGTTAATTGAATGAAAGTATAAGATAATTTGAGTTATTAGTAATGGGTTCATTGATCATAGTTTGATCAATAATAGTAGTTTGTAGTAAGTTAGAGATAGTTAAGTAATTATGAGATAATAGTATTATTAAGTAATTATGAGGTAATTAAGTAGTATATTAAGGTAAATTTGTAAAGGTATTGAAGGGTAATTTTGTATTTTCTGCAAAACTGACTTTTATTTTGATTATATTAAGCAAAATAATCTTAGTATTTTAATATAGTAGTTTTCAGTTTATTTTTTTAGTTTATTGTTTTAGTTTATTGTTCTTATTTTATTATGTTTAGTAATTTAGAGAAAAATAAAGTTACAGTTGCTGAAGATTTGATCATTCAATTAACTAAAGATCCTAAACCATCCTGTAGCCAAGTTAATTTTGAAGCAAATTTTGACCATTTGGTACTTAAAATGTTAAAGTTTCTATATTAAGGAATGGGTATTTCAGAAGTCGATTTGAAATAGGACTTAGTTAGTAGACTGGTTAGTGAGTATAAAGAAAGAGAGGAGGTGTTTAGTGATCTGTTTGGAAAGAAAAAATCAATGAACTTGGATAATGATATGGGTAATACAGAGGCTTTTTTTCATATACAGGATCATGGGCATAGTGTAGGGAGTCCAAATATTGATAAGTAAGAAGAAGGAGATTTAGGAGCAAGGGCAGCAGGTGTGCATCAGTTGTTGCAGTTTTCTGAAGGAAAGGAAATATTTGTATTTGATAATGATAGTAATAAAATAGGCTTATGAAGAAAGTAAAACTTGTTAAAGGCAAGGAATTAATGAAAGTTTAATGAATAGTGTAAAGCTGGGTTTTGATAGATAAAGCCTTGAATATAGGAGATGTTGACTATTTGCTGCTAGCTAGACAAGTGGCATTAGAAAGAGCATATGTATTTAGAGTTGCTAATGAAGATGGATAGAGCATTGCTGTGAAGATGATGTCTAATGATATGGTTAATTCTATGTTGCAAATGTTTGGAGAAAAGAGAGAAAGAGCTAAGTTAGCAATGCAAAGTGTTTATAAGAGTAAAAAACTGAAACTGATCCAGAAACGAAGTCAGAAGGTAGATGCTCAACAAAGAAATACTGGAAATGCCTTTTCAGGTATGCATCAAGGGCAACCTGTTATGCTGATGTTTTTTAAGCCTATCTTTCATTTTTATTGTTTTGTCAACAGTGGCCTAACCAACATGGGTTGGTATTATTACCAGCAGTTATAAGAGTTAGCAATATAGATTTGTACATGTCAGGGCAATAAGCAATACAGAATAGTTATTTACAGAACCTATTTTCATTAGTAGGTAATAAGTCTTTACCTTTTTCTAATTCTAAAAATTCAGATATAAGGAAGAAATTTGATATAGGAAAGAAAGTTGTTTGCTATTTGTGTAAAGGAAAAGGGCATTATGCTAATGAATGTAGTTCATATAAGCACTTGAATATGCCCTTTTAGAATGAGAACTCTAAACAGAAAAAGAGTTGACAACACTTGGGAGAAATTAATAATAAAAGAAAGAAAGAATATAGTAATAAACAACAATGAACAGTATGTAACAGGAATGTTACACTCAAAGTTAGCAATAAGATATTAGAAGGATGTGATAAAACTGGCACAATTAGTGTTAGAATAGTTAAAGAAAAGAATTACTCTGTTTTCAAGAGGCATTATGAATCTTGTATTAGAGACAGTATCAGAACTAAGAGTTTTTATTTTGAAATAGAAGGAATGGATAGGAGGAGAATTGGAAAGATTAAAGAAGACTAATGCAATAGAGCTAGTTGTGCAAGGAAGTTTGAGGCTAAAAGCACTCTTGAAAGTAAGTCTAATATTTGTGGTACTAAAACAAATTCTGAAGAAATTTTATCTCATTGTAGATCTTAGAAGATTAAACAAGATATTACCAAAAAAGTTGTTTAAGTTTGAAGGGTTAGGGACTTTGTTGAGGATAGTTAAAAGGGGCTGGTGGGTGTTAACATTCAATTTAAAGAAAGGTTATTACTATTTATTAATGAACAAGTTGGCTTAGTGCTTTCTAAGATTTTATTTCGATGAAATGTGGTTCTATTACAAAGTGTTGCCTTTTGGATTGAGTCAATCTCTATAAATTTTTGCAAAGGTAATAAAGGCAATCATAGATAGTTGGAGAGCAAGGAGAATATTTTGCACAACTTATTTAGATGATGTGTGGATAGCATATCCATTAAGAGAAATTTTGTTAGAGCAGAGATAGGCAGTGATAGAGAAGAATTTGCAAGAATGCTGATGAGTGTGAGCAGTAAAGTAAGGAAGTTAGGATCTAATTCAGAGACCAAAATTCTGCAGCCTTATTGTGAATACAATAGAGGGCTTAGTGGTTGCATCAGTAGAAAAGATTTCTTTAATGATTGTGCTATTGGAAACATTGTTGAAGAGTTCAAGATTGTTTGTATAAAAACTAGTGTTAATTTCAGAAAAGATTCAGAGCTTGGCAAAAGTATTCTCTTTAGCTCAAGTGAAATGTTTGGAGTTTTACAAGTTAATAGATACAAAGAATCATTGTTGGAATAATTGGAATTCAATAATTACTCTGTTCAATTAGGCTATAGAAGATATTCGATAGTTAATAGTGAACTTAGAACTTTGGAATGGGCATTCTGCATGAAAATCATTAAAAGTAGTATCTTTTTTGAAGACATTTCACTGATAGGCTGATGTGAAGTTTACTAAGGTTTAGTCATGGCAGAAAACTAAACATATCAATTGATAGTAATAGTGCAGTTAAAAGTTATTACTGTGCTTCAGGCCCTACAATTATTTGGGACTAATTAAAAGAGTTGTGGGTTATGTTAATGATAGTCAACAAGGTAATATTAAAAATAATGATGAATAGAAGACTACTACAATGACAAAAAGATATTGCCAAAGAAATTTGGAAGTGTTATATAAAGAAATATATAGGTATTTATTGCACAAAATGGATTTCAAGTTTAGAAAACCCAGCAGATGTGTAGTCATAGGTACTAGATTTTGGGAATTGGAAAATAAAAGCAGAAATAGTAGATCAGCTTCAAAGAAGATAAGGAAAATTCAATGTAGACAGATTTGCAAGCCACATAAATACCAAGCTAAAAAGATTCAACAGTTTACACCTTTGTCTTAAAACAGAAGCAGTGGATTGCTTCACACAAGATTAAAAAGAGTATATAAATTACACATGCTCTCTATTTGCTCTGATTCATCATTTGTTAATTTATGCCAAGAAATATGCAGCTATAATAATAATTATCATTCCAGTTTGGGTTGTGGCTTCATGGTGGCAAAAGTAGTATAGTCAAAAAAGGAAAAAATAGATTTACCACCATCAGTAGAGGCTGTGCAAGCAGGTTTGTTGGGTCACAGAGAACCTTGCAACAACATGAATTGGAAATTGAGAATAATTTGAATGAATTGGTCAAAAAATTGTTAGTTTGAATAGATACTTTAGGAAGAAATGTGATTAGTAAGGTCTATAGAAAAAAATTAGATAAGGCATAGGGTTTATTTGTTAGTTTTACCTAATAGATAAATTGTGAATTTTGTTCAGCATCAGATTCGATAATAGTAGTTTTTTTAGCTTAGTTGAAAATGTTAAGATGGAGTGTTAAAATACAGAATTGCTTAGCTACAATTGCTAGAGTTCATAAGTTAAAGAAGTTGTATAATCTATTGAAAAGTAACATAATGCAAATAGTTGCTAGTGACATTAAGAAGATTATAGCAATGAACATTGAGGCCAAGTGGCCAAGGGATTTGTTGTCTGTTAAGATGGTCAAACAATATTTGGACTTTTCTTCAGAGGATGTAAGTTTCAAAATGTGAACTAGGGATTTGACATTAATAGCTCTAGGCTTAAGAACAATAAAACAGCCAAGAAAGTTTTGCAATTTAAGAAAGAAGAATATAGAAATAAGGAATGGATTTTTGTGGATAAGAATAAATAAGTTGAAGATGGACCAACTTGCAAGAAGGAAATTTGTACTAATTGAGGTATCTAGTAGTAAATATTGCCCAGTTAGAAAAATAACTGAGTATCTTAAAATAAGACCTGAAATAACAGATGATACACTATTTTTTTTGTTAAAATCAAGGACTAAGATAACAGTTTCATTGGTTACAGCAGTAATAAACAATTTTGCAGAGCATGTGAAGTTAAAGAATAAGTTTATAGTACATAGCTTAAAAATTGGAGTGCTACTGCAGCCATGAAGAGAGTAATGTCATTAGAGCAGATTCAAGTAATTGGTAATTGGATTTTAGATGCTGCATGGTCATATATAAAATCAGTAGGATCAGCTGAGTTGGGAGCTTTGATGTTAATAAGATTTTAGTGGTGAAGTTTTTGTTGTCTGATTGTAAGTAAGTTGAGTTTTTGTTAGTATATATGGCTAAGAAGTTATTGAGCATATCAATTTTTCTTTTATGATACTCTGAAAAGACCTATTTAGTGTTCTTCATAATGATAAGTATATAGAAAATAAGAGACAAAACAAATTAGCTGCTCAATATATAAGTATCGAAGCAGCTTTTGTCTTGAATCATATGTCAGTAAATCAAATATGTGATAGGCCTTATTATAGTCACATATTTGATCGAGTATTAGTTAATCGAACAAAAGTATAAGGTAATTTGAGTTATTAGTAATGGGTTCATTGATCATAGTTTGATCAATAATAGTAGTTTGTAGTAAGTTAAAGATGGATAAGTAATTATAAGTTAATAGGATTATTGACTAATTATAAAGTAATTGGATGGTATATTAAGATAAATTTGTAATAGTATTAAAGAATAATTTTTCTTTTCTGTGAACTTGACTTTCATTCAGGTTATATTGACCCACCTATTCTTTTTATAAATTGAGCATTGCTAAATAAATTGGCTTGCCAGGATGGCAGTTATAGCTTAATATAACAAGGAAGATAGGTTTCACAGTTTTACAGTTTGCAGTTATTTTAAATTATGACCTGTCTGAACAACAGTCATCATAAGGAAGTAATCAGTTAGGATAATTGCAAAAAGTAATTGTAAGAATAATTATATAATGCTTAATAAGAAAGCATATTTTAGTTAGCCAATACTTATAAGGCTGCATAGGTTGCTCAATAATAGAAAAGACATACCTGTTTAGTTTTCTTCATAGTAATAAGTATATAGGAAATGAGAGACAAAACAAAAGTATCATTCATAACTATTTGGATCAAAAAATTATTAATACTATTATAAAAAAACAAAAATTATGTCTAAGATCTAATTGAACATTTTCTTTTATGTTGGTTTCTTTGTAACATTTCTAGTTACTTGAAAAACTTTATAATCTGAGATTGTGAATGAATATGTGTTTATAAATTTGTGTAGTTTTTTATTTTAAGTATCAACCTTCATTGAAATTTACTACTATTATGATTAATATGCAAAAATGTCTTTATATCCTATTATATAATAAAATAACTAGCTTATTATTTAGAAATCACAAAATTTTATCTTAAAAATAAATCCTTTCCATAAGTGTTCATATCAGAATTATTTATTGTGACACTGTTCAAACACTTGAACCTAGGATCATCTTGTAAAGAGAAGCATATTAGAATATTAGAATTATACACTCTGCAAGTACAAGGAAGGCATCAAGCTCATTATTATTTTTTTATTCATAATGTTATTCATTGTTTGAGGCTTTTTTTTGAATAAAAAATCTTTAGAAATTTATTTGAAAGAATTTTTGGATATTGATATGATCAAGAATAAGAAAAATAAACATGAAATCCAAAGAAAACTCAAATTGTTGCGAGTAGAAATAAATATTTCAAAGAAAAAATTTTTGTATAAAATTTGGTTTAAAAAAGTCAGGTGGTTATAACCACTAGAATCCTAAAGTTACTGTACAGGAACCAAAAAATTATCTTT